GCGAGATTGCCATACTTACTTTGGCATACACCACTGTCGGTCCGCACCATCCGCTAAACTCTTTATACTAACCAACAGAACATAAATACGCACAGATTCATCGGCTATGAAGTCAGGCGGGTAAGAGGTGCAGGGTTTTGGTTGCACTCAGCACAGTGAGGTGCTGATACTGCAATAATTTATAGTTCCTACAACCCAGTACTCGGAGTGATGACTGATATAAACGGTGTCGAGGGTGTCACGTTTAGAATATCGCGCCACGTGTGAGGATCTGGACTTGTTTTCCTCTTTAGCAATGGGCTTAGCCCACCCCAGGCGATGGTGGTCTGTTGCTGGTGGTCGGGGAGAGAGTGAGATCGACCCTCAGCGCATTTCTTTTCTCACTAAAAACAATCTGATTCGCTCGAAACAATCACGGTAAAAGCTGTGACTTACAGGGGTGCCAACTGACGGGACACCGCAGTTGGCCCAGTGTGTATCTTGTTGTGTTGGGTGGCTTACTTCGGGCTGAGAGTCAGGCCGCAATGGCTCCTTCTTAATGTGGCCTTTATGGTGCTTGCGCGCACGCGGGAGCCTACCTAGCAAGGTGGGGTTGTTGTGGCGCAGGTTGCAGTGTGTTTCGCGCACACCTCCATCTCCGATCTCCTCTAAATTTTCCTTGACGTTGGTTTCAGGTGTGGAAGTGGTCAGAGAGTGGGGTAGATCCGGCGAGCCTACTTTCAGTATGATCCAGCTAGAGTCACCTCATCTGCTTTCGGCGTACTGAAGCTCGTAGTGGACATCGTGGAAACCAAGAGTTGAACTGTCGTGTTAATGATTAATCTCATCAGCAAAGTTAAGTAAACACATCATATCTCGCCACGCGTGAGGATCTGGGCACCCCTGTCTTGCATGATGATTTCACAGCATCCAAACGCTACGTCTACTTCGGCGTACCACTGTTTGAATGCTGACCCTTAATTTAGAAGTCACGAAGCCTCAAGACAATTCGGAGGTACTACCGAGAATTAGTAAAACTCAGTCTTCGCGCACAAAACGTACTGCTGCGATAGCGCTGAGTGACTTGGAAACCAAGCGATTCAAGGGGCAAAAATGTGTCGCGAGGGGATTGGGAGCGCAAAGAAGACTTGCACAGCAGACTACACAAAGCAGTGGACATAAAAAGAGATGCAAAGTTATAGAAAAGTAGGATGGTCGGGGAGTTAATGTCAGCGCTAAAGCCGACGGTAGATTCTCGGTTCTCAAGTTCACTTGATGACTTCGCTCTACGTTGTCTGCCAGTGAGATTAGGCCAGACAGAAAGCAGACAGGGAAAGCTGGGGGACCCGCTGATGAGCCGGACCCCTCGCAGCTGTGCCAAGCAGCGGCAGAATACCGGCGAAACACGTGTGTGGACCTTTTAGCTAGTACCTAGGCTGGTAGTATGGTAAGTTGCAACATCAATATATACTACTAGTCTGTCTGTTGGCAGCAAGTGCATATTTCGCAGTGGTTGACGGGGTTCAGCCCAAATATACACTTTCTGTCTACGCCTACAGACCTTAAATATGCTGATGTATACCGAGAACAGAAATTAATTTCTCAGGAGATTAAAAAGTAGGCCTCTCTTGTCTGCTTGCGCCACATGAGGTGTCAGAAGGCAAAAAAGCCAATTTGGACTACATCAAAAACGTGTCTCCATGGTCCATCTTGCTTTTGTTATAAGCTGAAGAGACAGGGGACGCAGAAACGAATTAATGCTGACAAGGAGAATAAAAATAAGACGAGAAGGCAACTCGGATTCGGTCTGAGTGGGAATGTCATAAAAATTTGCAGTAATGAAGAACCAGTACAGCCTCAATCTCGGTCCCGAGACGAATCCCATCAATTAGTAGTTGTTTTCGATAGGGCTGTCTTGCGGGACCTCCTAAAGGAAATTCCACCTGCTTACGGCTACCTTAAAATAAATTTCGCCAGCCTAAGGTCGAATTTCCGTCAATAGGAATTGTCTACTATTCTTACAGGCATCAGTAATCTCGACAACAAAAATTTCAGTTGGTCGGTTTGATTATACTTAGCTCAATAAAACAATTTATAGGTGGCTTTAATTTAATTGTTCGCTTTCTACTCAATTTTCCACCAATTTACACTCTATACTCCAGTATTTAA